CCAGGTCAGGGATATAAATGATCACTCTCCCATCTTCTTGGAAAAACAAATGCTCCTAGAAATCCCAGAGAACAGTCCTGTTGGTGCTGTGTTCTTACTAGAAAGTGCGAAGGATTCAGATGTAGGAATCAATGCTGTAAAAAGCTACACAATAAGCCCCAACTCCCATTTTCACATTAAAATGAGAGTCAATCCAGACAATAGGAAATACCCCGAGTTAGTTCTGGACAGGGCACTGGATTATGAAGAGCGCCCGGAGCTCAGTTTCATCCTCACTGCTCTGGATGGCGGGTCCCCTCCCAGGTCTGGAACTGCCTTGGTCAAAGTGCTGGTTGTGGACATTAATGACAACTCCCCTGAATTTGAGCAGGCTTTTTATGAGGTGAAGATTCCAGAGAATAGCATCCTTGGCTCGCTGGTTTTGACTGTCTCAGCTTGGGATTTAGACTCTGGAACAAATGGTGAAATATGCTACACTTTATCCCATGCTTCAGAAGATATTCGCAAGACATTTGAAATTAATCAAAAGTCTGGAGACATTACTTTAACAGCACCTTTGGATTTTGAAACGATTGAATCATACTCAATAATCATTCAAGCCACAGATGGGGGAGGACTTTTTGGAAAATCTACAGTCAGAATTCAAGTGATGGATGTAAATGACAATGCTCCTGAAATCACTGTGTCATCAATTACTAGTCCAATCCCAGAAAATGCGCCAGAGACCGTGGTTATGGTTTTTAGTATCCAAGATATAGACTCTGGGGACAACGGAAGAATTGTTTGTTCCATCCCGGAAGACCTCCCATTCGTGCTAAAATCTTCAGTTGAGAATTATTACACGTTGGAAACAGAGAGACCACTGGACAGAGAGAGCACAGCCGAGTACAATATCACCATCACCGTCACCGACTTGGGGATACCCAGGCTGAAAACGGAGTACAACATAACTGTGTTGGTCTCCGACATCAATGACAACGCCCCCACCTTCACCCAAACTTCCTACACCCTGTTCGTCCGCGAGAACAACAGCCCCGCCCTGCACATCGGCAGCGTCAGCGCCACAGATAGAGACACGGGCACCAATGCCCAGGTCACCTACTCGCTGCTGCCGCCCCAGGACCCGCACTTGCCCCTCGCCTCCCTGGTCTCCATCAACACAGACAATGGCCACCTGTTTGCCCTCAGGTCGCTGGACTACGAGGCCCTGCAGGCCTTCGAGTTCCGCGTAGGCGCCACGGACCGCGGCTCCCCGGCGCTGAGCAGCGAGGCGCTGGTGCGCGTGCTGGTGCTGGACACCAACGACAACTCGCCCTTCGTGCTGTACCCGCTGCAGAATGGCTCCGCGCCCTGCACAGAGCTGGTGCCCCGTGCTGCCGAGCCGGGCTACCTGGTGACCAAGGTGGTGGCAGTGGACGGCGACTCGGGCCAGAATGCCTGGCTGTCGTACCAGTTGCTCAAGGCCACGGAGCCCGGGCTGTTCGGCGTGTGGGCGCACAATGGCGAGGTGCGCACCGCCAGGCTGCTGAGCGAGCGCGACGCGGTCAAGCACAGGCTGGTGGTGCTGGTCAAGGACAATGGCGAGCCTCCGCGCTCAGCCACCACCACGTTGCAAGTGCTCCTGGTGGACGGCTTCTCCCAGCCCTACCTGCCTCTCCCAGAGGCGGCCCCGGCCCAGGCCCAGGCCGACTCGCTCACCGTCTACCTGGTGGTGGCGTTGGCCTCGGTGTCTTCGCTGTTCCTCTTGTCGGTGCTCCTGTTCGTGGCGGTGCGGCTGTGCAGGAGGAGCAGGGCGGCCTCTGTGGGTCGCTGCTCGGTGCCCGAGGGCCCCTTTCCAGGGCATCTGGTGGACGTGAGCGGCACCGGGACCCTGTCCCAGAGCTACCAGTATGAGGTGTGTCTGACAGGAGGCTCCGGGACAAATGAATTCAAGTTCCTAAAACCGGTTATCCCTAATATCCAGGCAAAAGGTCCTGGGAAGAATAGTGAAGAAAACCCCACCTTTCGAAATAGCTTTGAATTTAATTTTTAGTAAGAATACTATTTACATTTTCATGTACTTTTTTAGTTTTATAGAACCATATCAATATTATTTAATTTAAAACTAGTTACATTATTATGCAATACAACTAATCGTATTTTTAATTTTTTCTTTTCTTTCCCCACTTTTTTTTTTTTTTTTTTTGACCTAGTCTCGTTCTGTCACCCTGGCTGGAATGCAGTGGTGTGATCTCAGCTCACTGCAACCTCCGCCTTTCGGGTTCAAGCAGTTCTCCTGCCTCAGCCTCCCGAGTAGCTGGCATTACAGGCGCCCACCACCACGCCCGGCTAAAAAAATTTTTTTTTTAATCTTTAGTAGACTTGGGGTTTCACCATGTTGGCCAGGCGAGTCTCAAACTCTTGACCTCATGATCCACCCGCCTTGGCCTCCCAAGGTGCTGGGAATACAGGCGTGAGCCACTGCGCGCCCAGCATTTTTTTTTTTTTTTTTTTTAATACAGAGTCTTAAGCCACCCAGACTGGAGGTCAGTGGCAGGATCTCAGCTCACTGCAACCTCTGCCTCCTGGGCTCAAGCGGTCAGCTCACCTCAGCCTCCAAGTAGCTAGGACTACAGGTGTGCGCCACTGTGCCGGTTACTTTCTGTATTTTTTGTGGAAACGGATCGTCACAACATTTCTTAGGCTGGTCTTTAACTTCTGAGCTCAAGCGATGCACTCCCCTCAGCCTCCCAAAGTGCTGGGATTACAGGTGGCCAGGCCTATTTTCAATTTTCACTTATTGCATATCATTGTGAATAACATTGTAAATCCTTTTTATATTAAGTAACAGGTAGTTAATCCATTTCTAATAAATAATTTTAAGGTTTTAATCCTTTCCAAGTGTACAGTAATTTATTGATTATTATTTCTCACTCTAGAACACTGACTTTGATTTTTCTCTTGGGTGCTTTGTTTTGTTTTGTTTTGTTTTTTGAGACAATGTTTCGCTCTTGTCACCCAGGCTGGAGTGCAATGGCGGGGTCTCAAAAAAAAAAAAAAAAAAAAAAAAAAAGAAAGAAAAAGAAAGAAAGAAAGAAAAGAAAAAAAAACAGTATTTTCTTTAATTTCCAGACTCCTTCTATTGAGTGGCTTCTTCTAGAATTACCTCAATACTTCTAAATGATATGTTTTCGCTGTTAAATCTTGCAACTCCATTTTACATTTTAATCACTTCTTGCTATGGATTTTTAAAAATGATTTAACTTTCTTTCCAACTAATGTAAACCAATATAAGCACTGCACATTCCCTTTCTCCTATTCTCCCAATAAAATTGTTACAGTTGTTGTTGTTGTTGTTGTTGTTGTTGTTTTTGGCAGAGTCTTACTCTGTAGTCCAGATTGGAGTACAGCGGTGTGATCTCACCTCACTGTAACCTCTGCCTCCCGGGTTCAAGTGGTTCTCCTGCCTCAGCCTCCTGAGTAGCTGGGATTACAGGCACCCACCACCACACCTGGCTAAGTTTTGTAGTTTTAGTAGAGATGGAGTTTCACCATGTTGGTCAGGCTCATCTTGAACTCCTGACCCCAGGTGATCCACCCACCTCAGCCTCCCAAAGCGTTGAGATTACAGGCGTGAGCCACCGTGCCCAGCCTACAGTTTTTTTTAAGTTAAACTAATAGTGTTCATATTGCTAAGGTTTCTTCAAAATATACATTAGTGTAGTGTGATTAAATTTCCTTTCTCGAGAAACATTTTTCCTAGAGCTGAAAATTGTTTTGTACTTACCTAATTTTCCATTTACTAATATTAGTTTCTTTACATTCTCTAATTTGAATCTCTTTCTTCTCAAAATATTCAAATGTATCAGATACCCATCAATTATTTTTATTTCTTGGTGATCTTTCACCCAGATCTCTACTTCATTCATACTGGTTGCTCTATAGGCTGTCACCCTAGGACTTTAAAAAATATTTTTCTTTATTGGTCTTCTTTTATAAGATCCAGTATATTCTTCTTTCTTAGTTTACTCTCTTATTTTGTTGATGCACATCTCTCAGTACCTTCATAAAAATGGATACAGAGGAAGTAAAACTTTTTGAGAGCTTATTTTGTTATTTTCTTTTTTAATTTGATTGATAGTTTGGGCATAACATTCTAGGTTGAAAATAATTTTCCCTCAGATTTCAAAAACACTGCTCCTTTTATTGATTGCATATAGAATTGCTGTTCAGAAGACTGATTCCATTCTGATTCCTATGTCTTTTTATGTGATTCCCCTCACCCTTTTTTTCTTTCTTTCTAGGAGCATTTAAAAAATTCCCCTGGTCTTCTGAAAATACCTTAGCACTGGCTCTTAATTGATTAATCTGGTCATATGGCTATGCCCTGTTCATGTTTATCTTTTTTCTTTTTTCTTTTTCTTCTTTTTCTTTTATCTTTTATCTTTTTTTCTTTTTTAACACAGCCTGGTAACTGTGTTACCCAGGCTGGAGTGCAGTGGCTATTCATAGGCACAATCATAGCACCCTGCAGCCTCTAACTCAAGAGCTACTCCTGCCTCAGCCTTCCAAGTAGCTGTGACTACAGGCATATGCTAGACCCCTTGGCTGACGTTCAGACTACCAATTTTATTTCTGAGAAATTTTGGTTGGGCATGGTGACTCACACCTGCAATCCCAGTACTTTGAGAGGCTGAGGCAGGAGGACTATTTGAGGCCCCCAGTTTGAGACCACCCTGGGCAACATAGAGAGAATATATCTCTATACAAAAACAATTTTTAAGAGGAATTTTCTTGGTATGTTTTACTCATAATTTCTCCCCTGAGCTTTCTGGATTCTCACTTCAACAAAAATCTCAGTTAAATAATAGACCTCCTAGATTTACTCTATGAAACTCTAAGCCTTTTTTCCTTTCTTATTTTTTCTTTGCCTCTCATTCCATTTTTTGGACAATTTATTTAATCACTCCATCTTTTATATTTAAGTTTTTCTTTATCACTGACAAATACTTTTAAGAGTTGTTTTTGGTTCTCTGAATGCTTTTCATGGTATCCTGTCATAGATTTAGAAATGTAATATTTTCTCTCATTTATAATTAATCTTTTCTTTAAAAATGCATTATGTAGTATTGTTATTATTATCCATTTTAAAAGTGAAAGTGAGTCTAAGGGGAGTTGAGAACTTGTCCAAGGTAACATAGCTAGTGAGGAGCACTTAAGTAATAATCTAGTCTTCATCTTACAATAGGAATACATACTTCACACATATACTATTTAGATTAAATGGATAAATGCATTATGAGACATTTAGAACAATGGGTAGCGTAGAGTAAATACTAAATAAGTATTAGCTTTTATTAGATTTTCTTTCTCTGGGAATATTAATCAGACATTTTGAAAGGCTTTCTTCTGTTTTCTATATTATTGTTCCTTCTTTTTTCTTGGTGGTAGTGATGGTGGTAGTTTTGGTCTTTCTATGTCATGTTACAGGCATCTCCTCAAATGCCTTGGCTATCTTCTCATATTTTAGAAGGATGATAATATCAAAATGTTGACAATCAACTCTGTGAGCAAACAGTACCTGTTGATGGCAGACCTTCATTCTAATATAACCATGCTAGGATAAGGCAATTACCTTATGAGACACCAAATATTAATATGTGTCTTTACTTGGGGCTTTCATATTCTCCAGGTTAGAATTCTACAATATTCACTGTGTGGGGATGAACTAGGGGTCAGGCATATACCTTGTGTCCTACAGTCTAAGAGTATTGCATGAAAAAGGACTAGAAGTCTAACCATGCAAAATGCAAAGGTTTGCTTACTCTCCCTATTTTCAATTTGACACCTCACAATTGTGCTCAGGCTGTGCCTAGATCCCCAAGACTAGAGAAAGTTCCATTAAATTTGTCCAGAGAATAAACTTTCTATTTTCTGGTTGTGAGTTACATTTCTGTCTATGTAGGGTGATGAGAAGAATAGAGAATTCAATTATCCTCTACACATACTTCCAACTGATAACTTTTTTTCCATCCTTAACTGACTTCAGTCTTCTTAAACATCTGGTTCCTCCAAATCTTGGCTTAAATGAGATTGTGTTTCTTGTGAGTATCTTCAATGAAGGAATTTTACTTTAGGGGCATTTTTTGGAACTGCTAAGTCAATTGCTCTTCCACCTGCTTTGCTTTCTGTATTAGAAAAATATGTGTGTTCACTTGTGTATTCTTAATCTTCATTAGTTCCCATTTTAATTACTTTTCTGTCATTTCAGTGTGTATTTTTTTAAAAAAAGAGAGGTTAATTGTGTATGGTCAATCCATCACTTTTCAACTTTTACCTTTCTGTACCAATTACTATTTAAATCATGTATCCAGCTTACATTTTTAAGAATATTAATTGAATTTAACATTTTAAAATCCAGACTTATTGGATTCTTCTTCCATCCATTCTTAGCGCACGTTAAGACTTTCTATAGTGAACATCACTGATGAGCCCTTAGCATCTATTCCAAACAATCTCCCTCATTATGTACCAGTGATTTACTTTGGCTAGGACTGAAACCATCCCAAGCTTAAGAGGTGGTCCCAGACAGGATTAAAACAAAGTAATGGCCAGAGATGGGTCTTTAGATTCTAGGGCTAAAATCTCCAAGTATGATTCTATACCTCTTGAAACAATGATTGCTTCAGTCACAGGCACATGATCTTACTTGGTCTAATCAGAGTGAAAGTTAGGTTTTTGTTCTATGTTTAGGGATAGACTCTTACTTTCTCTTCCTGGGCTGAAAGAGAAAACAGATAGCTACAGTTGTGACTACAATAAATTTTGGGAACCTGGGGCAAGCCAGCTTTAGGAATTAGAGTCTACTTTAAATGAAACTAACTTGCTTGTGCTTGTGTACTTATCAATTTTTTGTGAATTATGAAAAACTGAAACTAAATGATAGGTTTACATAATATGTTCCACCCCAATCTCTTGCTTCATTTTCTACCTGTTCACAATTCATTGCTATTAAGGAAATCTATGGAAATGCCTTTTTATGCTGTCATAATGACCTAAATTTGCCTCATCACATGGTTAATGCAGTTTCATAACTTCAGAAAGGACTTTTGAGATCACCTTCCCTTTCCCTTACCATGTAAGGAAAGCCAAGTAGTAATAGAGTTTCATTCAGCTCAACACTTAGTTACACCCTGCTTGTTTCAGGCTTACAATTGTCTCAGAAATACTACGAATTCCTGGGGACCAGGGATCACATCTTGTATCTGTATTCACCACAATCGAGCACATTTGGTTGTGAGGAGAGTGGGGAAAGACACTGAATAAATGCTTTAAAACAAATACAAACATCATCACAAACTATAAAGAATATAAAACGATTATTAAGGAAGATATAATATATTTTTAATTAAACAGAAGGAATTATTTAAATGCAATATTTGCTTCTGGAGGACATTTATGTAAATAAAATTTAGGTAGTGTTCATCAAACTGTGAAAATCTGTGGAGTCGCGTGGTGGCGCTGCAGGATAATACCAAGAAAAAAATTACCCTGGAGGATGTTGTAGACGCTGTTATCCAGTAAACGGAGAGAACTGGGAAGACAGAAAGAACAATCCTTTAAGGGACAACCTAGAAGCCATTCAACAAGGTTAAAATCTTTAGGCTTCCGATGATTTGGTAGACAGATCAGAGGCACGTTTCCCACAACTGCGAAGTGGTGCTGAGGCAATTCTGCAAGATTTTGGAGTTTTGGAAAAGAAGCTATGGAAAACGGAGGGGCAGGCATTCTGCAGATAAGGCAAGTCCTGCTTTTCTTTGTTTTGCTGGGAATGTCTCAGGCGGTCTCTGAAACTGGGAGTTTTTTGGTGATGGAGGAATTGCAGAGTGGGAGCTTTGTAGGAAATTTGGCAAAGACCCTGGGACTGGAGGTGAGTGAGCTGTCTTCACGGGGGGCCCAGGTGGTTTCTAATGATAACAAAGAGTGTTTGCAGCTGGACACAAACACTGGGGATTTGCTCCTGAGCGAAATGCTAGACAGGGAGGAGCTCTGTGGCTCCAATGAGCCTTGTGTGCTGTATTTCCAAGTGTTAATGAAAAACCCCACGGAGTTTTTACAAATTGAACTCCAGGTCAGGGATATAAATGATCACTCTCCCATCTTCTTGGAGGAACAAATGCTCTTAGAAATCCCAGAGAACAGTCCTCTTGGTACTGTGTTCTTGCTTGAAAGTGCGAAGGATTTAGATGTAGGAATCAATGCTGTAAAAAGCTACACAATAAATCCGAACTCTTATTTCCACATTAAAATAAGAGTCAATCCAGACAATAGGAAATACCCTGAGTTAGTTCTGGACAAGGCGCTGGATTATGAAGAGTGCCCGGAGCTCAGTTTCATCCTCACTGCTCTGGATGGCGGGTCCCCTCCCAGGTCCGGAACTGCCTTAGTCAGGGTGGTGGTTGTAGATATTAATGACAACTTCCCTGAGTTTGAGCAGGCTTTTTATGAGGTGAAGATTCCGGAGAATAGCACCCTTGGCTCGCTGGTTTTGACAGTCTTGGCTTGGGATTTAGACTCTGGAACAAACAGTGAACTATCCTATACATTTTCCCATGCCTCAGAAGATATTCGCAAGACATTTGAAATTAATCAAAAGTCTGGAGACATTACTTTAACAGCACCTTTGGATTTTGAAACAATTGAATCATACTCAATAATCATTCAAGCCACAGATGGGGGAGGACTTTTTGGAAAATCTACAGTCAGAATTCAGGTGATGGATGTAAATGACAATGCTCCTGAAATCACTGTGTCATCAATTACCAGTCCAATCCCAGAAAGCACACCAGAGACCGTGGTTATGGTTTTCAGGATACGAGACAGAGACTCTGGGGACAACGGAAAGATAGTTTGTTCTGTCCCGGAAGACCTCCCATTCGTGCTAAAATCTTCCGTAAATAATTACTACACTTTGGAAACAGAGAGACCACTGGACAGAGAGAGCAGAGCCGAGTACAACATTACCATCACCGTCACCGACTTGGGGACACCCAGGCTGAAAACCGAGTACAACATAACCGTGCTGGTCTCCGACGTCAATGACAACGCCCCCGCCTTCACCCAAACCTCTACCCTGTTCGTCCGCGAGAACAACAGCCCCGCCCTGCACATCGGCAGCGTCAGCGCCACAGACAGAGACTCAGGCACCAACGCCCAGGTCACCTACTCGCTGCTGCCACCCCAGGACCCGCACTTGCCCCTCGCCTCCCTGGTCTCCATCAACACAGACAACGGCCACCTGTTCGCCCTCAGGTCGCTGGACTACGAGACCCTGCAGGCCTTCGAGTTCCGCGTGGGCGCCGCAGACCGCGGGTCCCCGGCGCTGAGCAGCGAGGCACTGGTGCGCGTGCTGGTGGTGGACGCCAACGACAACTCGCCCTTCGTGCTGTACCCGCTGCAGAACGGCTCCGCGCCCTGCACAGAGCTGGTGCCCCGTGCTGCCGAGCCGGGCTACCTGGTGACCAAGGTGGTGGCAGTGGACGGCGACTCGGGCCAGAACGCCTGGCTGTCGTACCAGTTGCTCAAGGCCACGGAGCCCGGGCTGTTCGGCGTGTGGGCGCACAATGGCGAGGTGCGCACCGCCAGGCTGCTGAGCGAGCGCGACGCGACCAAGCACAGGCTAGTGGTGCTAGTCAAGGACAATGGCGAGCCTCCGCGCTCGGCCACCGCCACGCTGCACGTGCTCCTGGTGGACGGCTTCTCCCAGCCCTACCTGCCGCTCCCGGAGGCGGCCCCGGCCCAGGCCCAGGCCGACTCGCTCACCATCTACCTGGTAGTGGCGTTGGCCTCGGTGTCGTCGCTGTTCCTCTTGTCGGTGCTCCTGTTCGTGGCGGTGCGGCTGTGCAGGAGGAGCAGGGCGGCCTCTGTGGGTCGCTGCTCGGTGCCCGAGGGCCCCTTTCCAGGACATCTGGTGGACGTGAGCGGCACCGGGACCCTGTCCCAGAGCTACCAGTATGAGGTGTGTGTGACTGGAGGCTCCGGGACAAATGAGTTCAAATTTCTGAAACCAATTATCCCCAACTTCCTACTCCACAGCACACGTAGGGAAGTTGAAGAAAACCCCCCATTTCAGAATAATTTGGTTTTCTGATAAAGAATGAAAAATAAATCCTGTGTTTATGAATACATTTATAATTAGGAATTTATTGTGAGGTGCCCGTAAAGTAGTATTTTTGGTCACTTCAAATATGTACTCTTTAAGTCAAGAAATTTCTTTACATAGGAAAGGATCCAGATTTAGTATCAAGAACCCTTCACAAAGCATGAAATGTATATGTGTAATGTTTTATGTCAAACAATTATGCTTAATATAAAGTCTATTAAATGGTAAGTCTTGTTTGAGATATTTTAAATTGCTTTCCATTGTTTTCAATATTTACCATGACTTTCGTTTTCTGAGTTGATTAGAATGCTGTTGGAGTATACTACCTTAGTTTCAGAAGCATAGATTGTAATGTACCTTTTTAGACCTTATTTTTTTAAAACACTCGTTTTATGGATCATACACTATTTTCACACTTTTAATCTCAGAAGAAACATATGTGGCATGGTATTTTAGGAATGACCAAATAGATGGTCTCAGAGACTCAGTAAGATTACCAAGGTCCACTAACTAATAAGTGACAAAACTGAGCATCCATCCTCCATCTGCCTGACTCTGAGTCAGTGGCTTTGCTCCAATTCCATACTGTTTTCTGTCATTAGATATCACCTGGCAAGTTTCTGCCTAACTAAAGAGAAGAAATATTTTTATCACATTCATACTACTGTTCAATCTTTATTTAGAAATCATCTTTATCTATGATTTCATTTTCTCATAAACCAATAATCTTGCTTTTCTGGGTAAATTTTCAGCTATTATTATTAATGCTGTGATCTGTCTAAATCTCAAGTAAAAAACAAAATTGAAAGAGCAACCTGTGCCTTCTCGTTGTGTCCTGAACATATAACTTCCATTTCACAGAAAAGATTAATGGTCCTGATTAGGAATAGTACATAATTTTGATTGCATTATTAGTTAATTATTTTCTTCACATTGTTGTATATTTTCAGAGTCACCCATACTTACATTTGTAATACATTTTCCTGATTTGAGAATTTGTTTTTAACAGTTTTCTATTACCTGTACGGCACTGCTGAATCAGGAAAACTTAAGAAAAAGAATAGTTTTAAATGTGTAATATCAAAGAGAAATATAGATGATCATTAAGTTTTTAGAAATTCTGGGGAGTTAAGGAGAAGCATTATTTGTTTAAAAATATGTAACTGATTCTTATTTTTAAAATAGGTAATTTTGGCATAGTTGTGTTCTGAATATATTATAAACTAGTGCTGGTAACTCTAAGAAAGCTAGTATTACTGCATATCACTGGTGGGATAGAACCTAAGGACAAAAAACTCACAGTAGTAAAATCTAAAATTGCTTTCATGATCTCAGGGTAAAATTATCCAATTTCTCTGACAAATAAATGGCATTAGAAATAAGAGGAGTGAAGTTTACACAAAGAAAAATCTCAAGAGGTCTAGCAATCAAATACAATGTGTGGATCTTGTTTGGATCTTGATTGAAACAACAGCAATGACTTTGAAAAACTTGGAAAAGTTTGAATATAGATGGGTATTAAATAATATTAACTTAATTTTTAGGTATGATAATGGCATTGTACTTAAGGGTATTTTTAGAGTCATTTAGAGTCATGATGCATTTAAAGAAATATATAATGATGTATTTGTGGGTGAAAATTCAGTTTGTCTGGGATGTGAAAATGTTGAAGGGATAGAGTCAAGAATTATGGGAAAACATTGATAATTGTTGAAGCTAGTACTGAGTCCTTGGAGGTTCATTACACTCCTCTCTTCTATGAGATTTGAAAAATTTCAAAATAATTTCTTTTAATTGATGCTGTTGGAAGTGCAGGTAACAAAAAAGGACATCCTTCCCAGAAACAAAATCACCACTGCTGTTACACATATTGTCTCTGTTTAGACAAACTCTCCAGCTTTTCCTTGTTCATTTCCCTTCATTATTGGATATAACTTCTCTACCTGAGATAGTCATGCTCCTGTATTCTTCTACCATTTGAATTTTGAGGTGTTTTTCTAGTTATAGTAATGGATTTATGTTAGACTTATGATGGATTTATGCCACCAAGATTCAGCTACTTGATGGCATCAAATTGCTTTATACTTGGTATATAGTTTATTTTTAAGGTTAATCTCTCTTTGCATCAGATTCCTCATGTGTAAGATGGGGAATTCACAACAGCCCTATGTGGTAGGTGCTATTATTATCCTCATTTCACAGACGAGCAAACTAAAGCAGAGAGGTTAAATAATTTGTTCGAGGTTCACAGCTACTAATTATTCGTATGGTTTATGGAAATAAAAGTGTAAACATCTAAAAGTTAACTATGTTAACTACAATTATATTTGAAATTTTCTGCATATATTCTTTTTGCCAAGCTAGACTGTTACCTAAATATTTCCTTTTTGCCCAAAACTCAGTTAGCATTGTTGAAAGACTAATGTAATTTCTCCTTCGGGCAGTTCTCTGCTCAGTAAGGTCCGGCGATATTAACGGTGGTGTTGTAACCTTACATAGTCCCAGGGTACATACAGGCAGAGTTGGGAATATTACATCTATTATCATCTCACAAAATGTAACATTCTGTAAGGACGCGTGGTGGCGCTGCAGGATAAGAAGGTACAAACCAGAATCGCAGCTGCAGCTCCATTAACTGGCAAAAGCAGCAGAACCTGGAAGCCCACGGGAAGCTTGGATGCCAAAGAGAAGACGGCAGGGTCCTCTGAAGAGGACTATTCTCTGCAATATTTCTGAGGTATCTGTGGAATAACCACAGCCTCAGATACTGGGGACTTTACAGTCCCACAGAACCGTCCTCCCAGGAAGCTGAACCCACCAAGAACAATGGAGGCCAGCGGGAAGCTCATTTGCAGACAAAGGCAAGTCCTTTTTCACTTTCTCCTTTTGGGCTTCTTTCTGGCGGGCGCGGCGGAACCTAGATGCTATTCTGTGGTGGAGGAAATTGAGGGCAGCTCCTTTGTCACCAATTTAGCAAAGGACTTGGGTCTGGAGCAGAGGGAATTCTCCAGGCGGGGGGTTAGGGTTGTTTCCAGAGGGAACAAACTACATTTGCAGCTCAATCAGGAGACCGGGGATTTGTTGCTCAACGAGAAATTGGACCGTGAGGATCTGTGTGGTCACACAGAGCCCTGTGCGCTACATTTCCAAGTGTTGCTAGAGAGTCCCTTCGAGTTTTTTCAAGCTGAACTACAGGTAATAGACATAAACGACCACTCTCCAGTATTTCTGGACAAAGAAATGTTGGTGAAAGTGTCAGAGAGCAGTCCTCCTGGGACTACGTTTCCTCTGAAGAATGCTGAAGACTTAGATGTAGGCCAAAACAATATTGAGAACTATATCATCAGCCCCAACTCCTATTTTCGGGTCCTCACCCGCAAACGCAGTGATGGCAGGAAATATCCAGAGCTGGTGCTGGACAAAGCGCTGGACCGAGAGGCAGAAGCGGAACTCAGGTTGACACTCACAGCACTGGATGGTGGCTCTCCGCCCAGATCTGGCACTGCTCAGGTCTACATTGAAGTCGTGGATGTTAACGATAATGCCCCTGAATTTGAGCAGCCTTTCTATGGGGTGCAGATCTCTGAGGACAGTCCAATAGGCTTCCTGGTTGTCAAGGTCTCTGCCACGGATGTAGACACAGGAGTCAACGGAGAGATTTCCTATTCACTTTTCCAAGCTTCAGATGAGATAAGCAAAACTTTCAAGGTCGATTCCTTGACAGGAGAAATTGAACTAAAAAAACAACTCGATTTCGAAAAACTGCAGTCCTATGAAGTCAATATTGAGGCAAGAGACGCTGGAACCTTTTCTGGAAAATGCACCGTTCTGATTCAAGTGATGGATGTGAATGACCATGCCCCAGAAGTTACCATGTCTGCATTTACCAGCCCAATACCTGAGAACGCGCCTGAAACTGTGGTTGCACTTTTCAGTGTTTCAGATCTTGATTCAGGAGAAAATGGGGAAATAAGTTGCTCCATTCAGGAGGATCTACCCTTCCTCCTGAAATCCGCGGAAAACTTTTATACCCTACTGACGGAGAAACCACTAGACAGAGAAAGCAGAGGGGAATACAACATCACTATCACAGTCACTGACTTGGGGACCCCTATGCTGAAAACACAGCTCAATATAACCGTGCTGGTCGCCGATGTCAACGACAACGCCCCCGCCTTCACCCAAACCTCCTATACCCTGTTCGTCCGCGAGAACAACAGCCCCGCCCTGCACATCGGCAGCGTCAGCGCCACAGACAGAGACTCAGGCACCAACGCCCAGGTCACCTACTCGCTGCTGCCGCCCCAGGACCCGCACCTGTCCCTCACCTCCTTGGTCTCCATCAACGCGGACAACGGCCACCTGTTCGCCCTCAGGTCTCTGGACTACGAGGCCCTGCAGGGGTTCGAGTTCCGCGTGGGCGCTTCAGACCGCGGGTCCCCGGCGCTGAGCAGCGAGGCACTGGTGCGCGTGCTGGTGGTGGACGCCAACGACAACTCGCCCTTCGTGCTGTACCCGCCGCAGAACGGCTCTGCGCCATGTACCGAGCTGGTGCCCCGGGCGGCCGAGCCGGGCTACCTGGTGACCAAGGTGGTGGCAGTGGACGGCGACTCCGGCCAGAACGCCTGGCTGTCGTACCAGTTGCTCAAGGCCACGGAGCTCGGGCTGTTCGGTGTGTGGGCGCACAATGGCGAGGTGCGCACCGCCAGGCTGCTGAGCGAGCGCGACGCGGCCAAGCACAGGCTGGTGGTGCTGGTCAAGGACAATGGCGAGCCTCCGCGCTCGGCCACCGCCACGCTGCACGTGCTCCTGGTGGACGGCTTCTCCCAGCCCTACCTGCCGCTCCCGGAGGCGGCCCCGGCCCAGGCCCAGGCCGACTCGCTCACCATCTACCTGGTTGTGGCGTTGGCCTCGGTGTCGTCGCTCTTCCTCTTGTCGGTGCTCCTGTTCGTGGCGGTGCGGCTGTGCAGGAGGAGCAGGGCGGCCTTGGTGGGTCGCTGCTCGGTGCCCAAGGGCCCCTTTCCAGGGCATCTGGTGGACGTGAGCGGCACCGGGACCTTATCCCAGAGTTACCAGTATGAGGTGTGTCTGGCAGGAGGCTCAGGGACAAATGAGTTCAAGTTCCTGAAGCCTATTATCCCCGACTTCCCTCCCCAGTGCCCTGGGAAAGAAATACAGGGAAATGCTACCTTCTCCAATGACTTTGGGTTCAATATTCAGTGACCATAGTCGACTTTTATATTCCATAGGTATTTTACTTTATGGCATTTCTATGCCAATGTTTATTTCCCCCAATTTGTGTGTATTTAAAACTGTACTGATTTACTCTTGATTTTTCTCATGTTCTTTCTCCCTTTGCTATTAAGTGAACATTCACTTTTATTCCCGGTTCTTAAAAGATGGCAATTCATTCTTTAACCTAGATGGTCTTAAATTGTAATTAATTTGCCTCCCTAAAGAGCAATACCAAGTCACATTTTTTTTCATGCCCCTGTCTTTAGTTGAACTTCACCCACTGTTATGCTTATGGTAAAATTAAATAGAGCAATTTGGAAGGGATTCACATTTTCCAGCATTTTTTCATTTCTCTTTTTTTCAGCCTTAAAATAATGATTGGTATTCAGATATATAATTTTTCTTTTTTTTAAATCCAGTGCATTTTTAGTTAACCTTTAACTATGCTTTTTGCTTTCAAAAATAAACCAGGAAACCTATATTCTATGATACAACTGTAAGTGTTTTCACTTGATTTGAAAGGGTCAGAAGACCAGTTTCTCAGTATCCTTTCCTCATTCATCCTGGAGAGGATTGTGCAGGCACGTTAATATTGTGGCCACTCACAGAATCTGGGAATATGAAGTTATAATTTTTAAATTAATGTACCAAAGCTTTAATGCAATCTAGTCAAATGCAGATGCGTGTGTCCAAATAATAATTCGTATAGCATAAATTGGAGTTGTGTGCTAATGTGTAAATTTTTTTGCCTGTAATATCATAGAATTTAATGTATATACACCAGAAACTACTTTTCAGACTCTTTTCTACTGCAACCAATAGTTAAGATTATATTTTACATATTTTGAAACACACAAAATAGAAAGAAATGCTTGTGAACAATGCTTAGTCTTTTTATGATATAATTTGAAATTACCTATATATTTCATTCTATTCAATTTTCAGATGTGGTCATAATCCACTAAGTTTATTTAATGGTATACTAATGGGTAGTAACCCAAAGTTTGAAAACCACTTTTCTCAGACATATAGAAGTATACCAGATGTTGAACATTGATAGTATCAAAAGAGTCCTTTAGGGTTCTAATTTAAAAAAAAAAAAATTCAAACCATTGTAGAGGAGTAGTGTTGTCTCATGTTAAACCACTCTACCCTTTAAGGATCTGACACACTGTGCAAGAAAAAGACTTCAAGGTTGGAGGAGGAGATTTTCCATGACTTTTATCAACAAATCTAAAGTCTATGTTGTAGGAGAAAAATGTAGGATAACAAAATGAGTAAAAGTATAGAGGCAAAAAAAGTGTGTGTATGAAAGAGACAGAGCAAGCATGGGAAAGAGGAAATTCATGGGGATGAGTAAAATGACTACTTTCAGTGCCACAGACTAGACTCAATTGCTTCTCTTATTTTATTTTTTGAGACAGGGTCCTGTTCTGTCACGCACACTGGAGTGCAGCGGTGCGATCTCCACTCACTGCAACCTCCACCTCCCGGGCTCAAGCAATCCTCCCACCTCAGCCTCCATAGTACCCAGGACTATAGGCGCAGGCCACCACACCCACTAATTTTTGCATTTTTAGTGGAGACAAGGTTTCATCATATTGCCCAGACTGGTCTCCAACTCCTAAGCTCAAGCAATCTGCCTGCCTCAGCCTCCCAAAATGCTGTGATTGCAGGTGTGAGCACCTGGCCTCAACTGCTTCTTGAAAATATTTTAAAATTTTATCTTAACATTGTAGAGGGACTGGGTATTAGTCAGTTGATAATGCCAAGGAGAGTAATCTCTTTTTATGGCATATCTAAGACAACCTAGTGTTTATACTTCTTGCTAAGATTTCACTACCAGTTCTGTTGAACTGTGTCGACTGAGTAATTATTCTTTTCTTTTTTTTCTGTTTTCTTTCTTTGTTTATTTTTTAGAGACAGGGTCTCAGTCACCTAGGCTGGAGTGCAGGGGTGCAATCATGGCTCACTGAATCCTTGAGCTCCTGGGCTCAAGCAATCCTCCTGCTGCAGCCTCCCAAGTAGCTGGGACCACAGGCACATGCCACCACCCCCAGATTTTTAAAAAGATTTTTGTAGAGATGGGTTCTCATTATGTTGCCCAGGCTGGTCTTGAACTCCTGGCCTCCAAAGGTGGGATTTATTCTAGCAGCTTCCCTGTGATCTTCTCACATCTACTGGTGGAGGGGGAAAGAATAGTTCGAACAGCTCAGACAGAAAATCTAGCAGGTGCAACAGTGGAGAAAAGGGCCAAGTACTTGTCCTATTACTTCCAATTTTTCTAGATAGATGAGCAGCAGGACTCCTCTCTTTATAAAAAGAACTATGAGTTTCCTGGCTCTAATGAAGAGTGACCAGGCATTCAGGAACTTAAATGCCAAGATACATATAACCAACGAATTCTCCTAGAATGTATTGCTGAAAACGAATTTTGCTCTTATAGTTCAAAGACCTCATTTATAGTTATACTTAAAACAGTGCATAGGAATCAAGCTGTATCAGCCAATTTTATATGAAAGAACTATAGGTTGTAAGTAACTTAGAACATAATTTTATATCTAGAGGGGGTTAAAGGACACAGAAAATAGAGACACAAGAGATGGTCCAGCCTTACAGAATGGAGTCTCTTGAAAACACTTACACACACACACACAAAAACAAATAACAGGGTTTTTTTTGTTTTTTTGTTTTTTTGGTTTTTTTAGTTTTTTTTTTTTTTAGTTTTTTGGTTTTTTTTGGAAATAGGCAAAAGTGTGGGGGAAAAGGGACATAGGACATTTTATCTTACAAACACATTGATTGTTCTCTTTATCTTTCTATTTCAAGTTCTGCCAACACTCCTGGGCCCACTGATTAATCTAACAACTTGACCTCTCAGTCCCTAAGTCTTTACCTCTACTCCTGTTATTCAGTCATTAACGCCTTGGCTACATATTGTACTTTTCCCCACCAAGAAACTGTCATATGATATAATAATTTCAGCTATCTCCCTGTGAGAGCACAATTGTCTATGCCTATAACCTTCTCATTCTGCTGTTCCTATCATGTCTTGTCTTTAACCTTATCAGGAGCTCCATTCCATGATGCTGATACTACCTATCAAATGCTCCTGTTTTAATTTCCTTCCTAACCAGTCAATTTCCTGGCTTACCGTTCACAATTACTCTCATGCCCATATTCTCAATTCCCTTGTTCAATTTTCCTTCACTCAAACCACCTGATGAAACTCCAGCCCAGATGAATATAGTCCTCCTCCTCTCTTACACATGGGGTGCTGCACTCTATAAGACCAAACTTACAAAATTAGCAATACCGCTGCCACTATAAATGTATAATATTCAAACCTAATTGGGCTTCTGAGACCAAAAACTCCTTTTATAATTTTTCTAACGAGCTTTATTTTCTATTCTCCACAACAACTATTTTAAACCTACTTATCTTACTTTAAACTTCTTACCCTACCACTTGCATACCCTGTTTTATCAGATGAACTTGCCTAATACCTTATTGAGAAAATAGAATCCATCAGCTAGAAATTCATTTTCCTGTCCCCTACTCCACAGCTTTAACAGCATCTGTATCTATATTTTTCACCTGCTGAGGTCCCTCCCACTGGTCTAAATCCAATCCCTTCACACATTGCCTGGATCCCATCTTTAACAACTTTTCTAGGGGACCTGCATTATCCCTTCTGTATCTTAATTTTCTCCTTCCCTACTGAACATTACACATTGGCATTTTAAGTATATTCAAGTTTCTCTAGTCTTTAAAATATCCTCTGAGTGAATTCTTCTCCAGATACCAATGTATTTCTTATTCCTTTTACAACCTTTGCATTCTTTACAAATTTCTTGAGAGCCTGGCTGCAGTGAGCCAGTGAGCCTGGGTGACAGATAGAGACCCTGTCTCAAAAAAAATTGTCGAAAGAGTGGTCTACTTCATTTTTGCTTCCTCATCCCTCTCACTTTGCACCAAAGTACAATATAATTTTCATCACAACCATTCTACTGAAACTGCTGTTGCAAAGGTTATCAAAGATTTCCATATAAGTTAAGTAAGATTATACTGTGGAACCAACGTGATGCAATGAAACAGTGGCTTGTAAACATGTCACTCTTTTTCACATGACAGTACCAATGTAAAAATTATTAGGTAGGTAAGGCAGCTTTGATCCTCACAGTCCTTGCGAAATGAAATTTTCTTTCAAGTAATTTCTTCAACATTCCCTATGGCAATACAATCTGCATGGGTGTAGCTGGGTCACTGCCACATCTGGGTCACTGCCACATCTGGGTTCTAGCTCGCTTGGAAGAAAGAGGCATATTCAGATGACTTTTGTTCTATAACTGGAAGAGGCAGACAGAAATTCTCACAATCCATCTGTGAGAACTTAATTCACTTGGCCACACTCAAATACAGGGGAGGCTGGGATGCACAATCTACCTTCGTGGCCACATACCTGGGTACAGTTCTATTACTATAGAAGCAAGGGAAAACAGATTTTGTCAGACATCTATCAGAATCCTCCACAATGACCATCTTTTTAAGTCCAATGGATAATTGTCATGCTTATTTTTCTTGACTTTTCTGAAGCATTTGCAGCTGTCGATCTTCCTCGTCTCCTTAAAATGCTATTTGCTTTTGATTTCATGATTTTGAACTCTGAGCCTTCTTTATATTTTCAGATATGCTTCTTGCCCTGTCTCCTCTAAATGAAGATGTTTCTTAGACTTCTGTGCCAAGCCTCTTCTATACTTATTTGACACACTTCTGCTTGGTTATCCTAGAGCATTCATGGTTTCAATCACCACATATATATACACACATATATACTGATGAATCCCAAAGTTCATATCGTCAGCTCAGGTTTATTTCCTATGCTTTGGTTATAGGCAAACACACACACACACACACACACACACACACACACCACAAACACACAAACACACATCCTACAGGCGCTTACCTCAATATCAGCATGTTCAAAACTGACACTTCATCTTTTTGCACCCCAATCATGTTTTTTTAGCATTCCCTGTCCTAGCAAATGACACCACTAGTCATTGAGTTTTCCAGTCCGGAGGTGTGATATCATCTCTGAGTCTTTCCCCTTTTTCTCCCCATGCAACCTATCAACCAACAGTTGAAAATATTTCATCTCCTCATACCTTTCTACTCATCCCTCTTCTCTCTATCCGCACTGGCATTATCCTCTTCCAGACTATCATCATCTCTTATCTGATCTCCTTGATTCTCCAGTCATTCCCCCTGAAATTAATTCTCCATACTTCAGCCAAACTGATCTTTTAAATGCAGATGTGATCATGTTAATCAGACATTTAAAACCCATCTTTGTACTTGAATTACATTTAGGATAAATGCAAGAACGCACGATATGACCTGTATAATGATTCACATTCTCACCCTGCTTTCAACCCTAATTTCATTATTAGACCCTCCCTTTCCACAGTTTTTAAAGTCCAAGGCATACTTCACTTCTCTGTGTTCCTCAAAATGCCCATCTGAAATATTCCTCCTTCTCCTGGCTAGTTCCTTCAGATCACAATGTATTATTCATTACGTCAGGAAAGCTTTCACTGATGTCCCAAGTCCTATTTAGATCTTAATTATTTTATTTTTGACAGATACTTAACCAGCACTTACAAACCACTTGGTAAATATTAATTCACTAGATGCCTATGATAATAATCATGGGAGGCAAATATTATTATTACCCCATTTTACAGGTGAGGAAACAAAGGTATCTATAACTTGCCCAAGCTTATAGTGAGTCACATTACCAGGATTCTAATATTGATAATTTGGTTCCAGATCCCATATTCCTAAGCACTAAAGTATGCAGCCCATAGGTACAAGAGGCCCTTTCTAGATATTTCTATATTACTTTTTATAAATGCATACATTATGACATACTTCATTTACTTGTCTGCCAATTTTTCTAGCTTGTGAGCTCCATAAGAGCAAGGATTATCTCTAGCTTATTTGTGCCATGTCCTTCTTTGTATTTTCAAAATATGAAAGTGAAAAAAGTAATGACATTACTAACTATGATTGACAACAAGTATTTACAAGAGTGAAGGAGAGAATATATTTGTAATTACTCAAGAAATGACTTAAATAAAAAATTATTTCTTCAGTTCAGAATATTTTAACAGATCCTGTAGTGTCAAGCATTCAAAACAGTGATAATGCAGTGTATAGACATTTTCTGGATTCAAATTCAAACAAACCATCAGCAAAGGACATTTTGGAGAGAACTGGGGAAAACCAAATGCAGGATAAATTACATCGAGGAATTATTGCTCAAGTTGTTGATTGTGAATTATTGCAATTATCTTTTAGGATGCCTTATCTATTAGAAATACTTAGTGAAGTATTTAAAGGTAAAAAAAAATGTTGTCTGGGATTTGTTTTGAATGTTCCGGATGTATTTATGATTTACTTTTTCAAAGAGGAAAACTTTTTAATGAAAAAAAAAGAAAAACATAGAGACACATGGTGGCGCTACAGGATAAGACGAAAACTGTACATAGGCTGGCACAGTGAGCTTCGCTATTCAGAACAGAAAGCATCCAACCCACTGAAAAGACAGGCATTAAAGGAGCTTTGCCTACAGAGCTGCTGGAGGATACACTGTCCAGGGGGTTCCTATTAAAAACCAGAGCTTCAGCTTCCAAAATTAGGGCTGAGCTTCAATTTTTCCACAAGAGGTTGCCTAAAGGAACCATGGAGATCAGAGGGTCACTTGATCTACGAAAAAGGCAAGTTCTAATATTCCTTGTTTTGCTGGGATTGTCTCGGGCAGATACTGAATCTGCACACTATTCTGTGGCAGAGGAAACAGAAATTGGCTCCTTTGTGGCTAATCTAGCGAGGGACCTAGGGCTGGGGGTGGAGGAGCTGTCTTCACGTGAAGCCCGGGTAGTGTCTGATGATAATAAAAAGTATTTGCACCTTGATTTGCTGACTGGGGATTTGCTCCTAAATGAGAAACTAGACCGAGATGAGCTGTGTGGCTCCACCGAGCCCTGTGTGCTGCATTTTCAGGTGGTTTTGGAAAATCCTTTACAGTTTTTTCGGGTTGAGCTGCACGTCAAAGACATAAATGATCACTCCCCTACATTCCTAGACAAGGAAATACTTATTAAAATATCAGAAGGTACCACTATTGGAACTACATTCCTAATGGAGAGTGCTCAAGATTTGGATGTCGGAAGCAACAGTCTCCAAAACTACACAATTAGCCCCAATTCTCACTTCTACATTAAAATTCCAGACAGTAGTGACAGAAAGATATACCCAGAGCTGGTCCTAGATAGAGCTTTAGATTATGAACAGGAAGCTGAACTCAGATTAACACTCACAGCACTGGATGGTGGATCCCCGCCCAAGTCTGGGACAACTTTGGTTCTCATTAAGGTGTTGGACATCAATGATAATGCCCCTGAGTTTCCTCAGAGTCTCTATGAGGTGCAAGTCCCCGAGGATAGACCCATTGGCTCCTGGATTGTCACCATCTCAGCTAAGGATCTGGATGCAGGAAACTATGGGAAAATATCTTACACATTTTTCCATGCATCAGAAGATATTCGTAAAACATTTGAAATTAATCCAATATCTGGGGAAGTTAATTTGAGATCACCCCTGGATTTTGAAGTGATACAGTCCTACACTATAAATATTCAGGCAACAGATGGTGGGGGTCTTTCAGGAAAATGCACCCTTCTAGTTAAAGTTATGGATATAAACGACAATCCACCAGAAGTGACCATATCGTCGATTACAAAGAGAATTCCAGAGAATGCCTCAGAGACTCTAGTAGCTCTTTTTAGTGTAGTAGACCAAGACTCTGGAGACAATGGGAGGATGATTTGCTCTATTCAAGACAACCTCCCTTTTTTCCTGAAACCGACCTTCAAGAACTTTTTCACTCTAGTTTCTGAAAAAGCACTGGACAGAGAGAGCCAAGCAGAGTACAACATCACGATCACCGTCACAGACTTGGGGACCCCCAGGCTGAAAACCGAGTACAACATAACCGTGCTGGTCTCCGACGTCAATGACAACGCTCCCACCTTCACCAGAACCTCCTACACCCTGTTCGTCCGCGAGAACAACAGCCCCGCCCTGCACATCGGCAGCGTCAGCGCCACAGACAGAGACTCAGGCACCAACGCCCAGGTCACCTACTCGCTGCTGCCGCCCCAGGACCCGCACCTGCCCCTTGCCTCCCTGGTCTCCATCAACACAGACAACGGCCACCTGTTCGCCCTCCGATCGCTGGACTACGAGGCCTTGCAGGAGTTCGAGTTCCGCGTGGGCGCCGCAGACCGCGGCTCCCCGGCGCTGAGCAGCGAGGCGCTAGTGCGCGTGCTGGTGCTGGACGCCAACGACAACTCGCCCTTCGTGCTGTACCCGCTGCAGAACGGCTCCGCTCCCTGCACCGAGCTGGTGCCCCGGGCGGCCGAGCCGGGCTACCTGGTGACCAAGGTGGTGGCGGTGGACGGCGACTCGGGCCAGAACGCCTGGCTGTCGTACCAGCTACTCAAGGCCACGGAGCCCGGGCTGTTCGGCATGTGGGCGCACAATGGCGAGGTGCGCACCGCCAGGCTGCTGAGCGAACGTGAGGCGGCCAAGCATAGGCTGGTGGTGCTGGTCAAGGACAATGGCGAGCCTCCGCGCTCGGCCACCGCCACGCTGCACGTGCTACTGGTGGATGGCTTCTCGCAGCCCTACTTGCCTCTCCCTGAGGCGGTCCCCGCCCAGGCCCAGGCCTACTCGCTCACCGTCTACCTGGTAGTGGCGTTGGCCTCAGTGTCGTCGCTGTTCCTCTTGTCGGTGCTCCTGTTCGTGGCGGTGCGGCTGTTCAGGAGGAGCAGGGCTGCCTCGGTGGGTCGCTGCTCGGTGCCCGAGGGCCCCTTTCCAGGACATCTGGTGGACGTGAGCGGCACCGGGACCCTATCCCAGAGCTACCAGTACGAGGTGTGTCTGACAGGAGGTTCCGGGGCAAATGAGTTCAAATTTCTGAAGCCGATTATCCCCAATTTTCAAGTTCATAACACTGGTAAGAATATGGGGGAAATTGAGAACTTTCGAAATAGCTTTGGATTTAACATTGAATAAAACAATTTAAAATAATTTATATACTTAAAATAATTTAGATTTAGTTATATCTAAAATAATTAGAATAACTAATTTTTAGTTATTCTTTGCAAGCTGATGGTACTTTTTGCATAATCTTTTGTGGATTTTTGGTTGTATTGTAGTTGCATGCATGATTATAGCTCTTGTTTTTCTCACAGTTTTTTAAAAAATCTTTATTAGTGGCTATAATGACATGGAAATGTAATCTGTGTTTTCTGGTTTTTCATTTATTTGGTCAAAATGTTATATTAATGGAGTTATTGCTATTTTTGCTGTGATAATGGTATTGTTATGTAAGACAATGTTCTCAATGATTTGGATATGCAAACTAAAGTATTAAGAGCTAATGTCATTATATATGTAACTTAAATCTAGACACCATCAAAACATAAAGTAAAAATAAAAAGTGTTGCTGAATCTGGGTCGAAAATATAGTGCATTTATCACACTATTCTCTCTGAAAATGTTGTTTAAAAAGGATAAAAAAGATGTTATCCCTCCATTTTCAGTTCTGGAGAACCTTATTCGTTTTTCAAATATTTACTTTATGATGAAACTTAAGTGGTCACATTGGAAATTATTAATTTCTTAAGTAATTTTTTCTGTAACTACTTTTGTTGATAATCCTGTTGTGGAGGAAGAGTCTTATAATGCTCTGGGCCTTGCTGTCACTCTTTAGTTTTCTTAATTTAATTTTATTTATTTATGTTTTTTGAGACAGGGTCTCATTCCATTGCCCTGGCTGGAATGCAGTGGCACCGTCATGGCTCACTGCAGCCTTGACTTCCTGGGTTCAGGTGATTCTCCTGCCTCAGACTCCTGAGTAGCTGGGACCAGTGGCACAGGCGACCATAGCCCAGCTAATTCTTTTGTAATTTTTTTGTACAGACGGAATATTGCCATGTTTTCCAGTCTGGTCTGGAACTCCTTGGCTCAAGCGATCTGCCCACCTTAGCTAGTCTTTTGTCTTTGTTTTTTGAGATAAAGTCTCACTTTGTTGCCCAGGCTAGAGTGTAGTGGCAGGACCTTGGCTCACTGCAGCCTTGACATCCTGGGCTCAAGAAATCCTCCTGCTTCAGCCTACTAAATAGCTCGAACTACAGGCACCCGACATGACGCCCAGCTAAATTTTTGTATATGTGGTAGAGATGGAGTTTTGCCATGTGGCCCAGGCTAGTCTGGAACTCCTGAACTCAAGTGATCCACCTGCTTCGGCCTCCCAAAGTGCTAGGATTACAGGCATGAGCCATTACGCCCAGCCTAGTTTTCTTTAAATACACCCTATTTACTAGCTTAAATCTTGTATTGTTTATTTCTAAAGCAGAAAATAATTTAGGGTCTTATCCTGGGTAAAATAGCCTTCCATCAGTTGAGTACAAAGCAAGAACTTCGTAAGAAATTGAGATGAAGATTCAAACTGTTAAAGAAAACGATTTTAGTTTCACTTTCCTATTAATTATTGAGTAAATATAAAATATCGTTAATACTTTGTGGCCTCTCTCAGATGCCTACAAAGAAGGAATGAGCAGGCATTTATGGTTTATAGATGCCTCATCATGTTACATATTATATTTCAACTCTAAAAGAAAGTTATATAGAAGATTATAGATAGAGATTTTGATAACTAGAAAGTAGTATGGATATAGGGCTAGTGTGCATATACATTTTGAAATTGCTCTTACAAGATTAAATACTATTACAGACCAGATGATGTAGTAAAATGGAATTTCACTTGCCATTGTGAAATAAGTCAAACAAATTCCAATTTCCTTAGATTTTTTTCCCTCTGTTTCATGCAGTTTTCACTGATTTTATTTTTCATTGTAACAAGTAATTATTAGTTGTGTGGATTTCTTTAAATTGACATTTAAACAATAAAATCCTGAAAAGATGTTTGGGTACCCTTTTTCCCTCAGAGTCATAAGAGGCAAAACTATGCTCCTGAAAGTCACTGCTAAAGTAAAAACTGAAGTAAGTAAAAACTAAAGAAAGACAGAAGAAAGACTAGAATAAGAGAGTAGAAAAAAGTGAAATGGAAAGAGAAATAAAAGTAGTGTATTTTTATCCTCAGTATTATCAATTATAAATAAAAATTTATAATAGTATTGAAACTATAATGTTTCTAGAAATTAGGCTAACAAAGAAGTCATAAAACCTTTATGGAAAAGTGAATGATGTCAATAAAACATTAAATGAAATAATTAAATGTCTGAATTAATTGAGACAGATGCTAGTTCCTTGATAGAACAACTTAAGAAAGATCTATGCTTCCCAAAATAATTTATAAATTCAATGCAATTTCAGTGAAATCTATCATAAGTAGTTAAGGATCTAAAAATGGTTTCTAATATTAATATAGAATATCAAGTTGCATGAAGAGCTAGGATAATTTTTAAAAGGAAATATGAGGGAATGCCTTACATTATAGATATTAGTACATACTACAAATATGAAGTAGGTAAATCTATCTGAATGATTTAGGAACAGACTCATAGACTACCAGATAGAATAGAATCCAGGGTCAGATCCTTTTATGTAAGATAACTTGGTCACAATAGAGGAGGTATCATAATAACTGGGGTTGGTGGAGAAGAGAGATTATTTAGCAAATGTTATTGCGGATATTGGCTCACTATATGCAGAAACAAAATCCCTATCTCATGTCATATAAAAACAACCTTCATATGTATGTAATAGGTGAATTTGAAATATTTGAATTGGAAGAGACAAAATAAATCTAGGTAAAAAATATTCATATCATCTTAGTTTGGGTTTGGATTTCTTAACAAGGCTTTAAAGTACAAAAAAGAAAAATACAAACTGATGAATATTACTGCCTCAAAATTAAATGATAGCACAGACAAACTAAAAGATGACAGTGAGAAGCCACCTGCAGTATTTTAACTGATAAGATTAATATTTACATTATTCAAATAACTCTTGCAAATCAACAACAACAAAGCCAGAGAGACAATAGGATTTTTCAAGACAAAGGAAAAGGAAATTCAAAAAAAGGGAAAACAGAAAGTCTGAAAATAGCTTTAAATGAAGTTCAACCCTTTTAGTTGGTGAAACATACACTAAAATTAGTAAAGATGAGAGATTTGGGTAATATCAAGTGGAATAATAGGAAATCACATGTACAGCCTATTTAGAGACCTTTCTGATAGTATTTAGTAAAATTTAATATATATATGTACTCCACAATTCAGCAATTTTATTGGAGTGTGTAAGCCAGAAAACTCTTACAGAGCTTTACAAAATGATGTATATAAGAATATTCATCTTGGGAAAATGAAGAATAGGACTCCACTTGCATATCTATCAGTAAAGCAATTGATAAAATGTGTAATATGTTAGTGAAGGATTATTATGCAGTGATCAAAAGGAGTTAGCTAGACATGTAATCACATGAATAAATCTCAAATGTTTTAAAAGAAAAAAGAGACAAAGATTTACAGTACAGTGATATACACAATATCTTATATTTATAGAAATATGCAAATATATTAATACACATTATGAAGGGAGAGAGGAGGTAATATAGGAAAGCTATTTATGTATATATAGAGGAACAAGGGGTATAGAAAGAAGTGAGAATGAATACCAATGTAAATGGCAGTTGTCTCTTCCAAGAGATTGTTTAAATTCATTATGTCATTGTAGAATTGATTTAGTATTGATCAGCTGAAGTTGTTTAAAAATACGTATTATTTCTGTTGCCTTCCAAAATAATCAGTTGCCCATAGAACATGAAAGCTAAGAGTTTACTTGTAATTTTTAGTTGCAACAATATCTCTGAGACTTCACATTTTTAACAAGGATGATAAAAATTATGTAGCACAATGATTTCACTGAAAACAATTAGCTATTAAGACATTAATACATTGTCAGGTTAGAGTTAATGTTAAAAGGAAACCCAGGGAGATAAACAAGTCCAAAATCTACTTTTTCCTAGGGAATCCTGGAAAACTTGAACCTCTGTTAATAAGCATGGACCCCTAAGAGCCAAACCCTTAGAGTGAGAGTAAACTGGAAATGCATGAGCCCTTGTGGGGAATTTCAGCCTTGAACTTGATTTTTAGCCTTTAACTTGATTTTTAGCCTTAAACTTGATTTAAGGTGATCATTGACAGGTAGTGCTCCAGGAACTGATAGAATTAAATGCAGATCTTTAATGAAATCTGACTTCTTATAGTGAATGTGAATGTGACTTCTTACAGTTTTGAATGTTTGAATGTTTATTCACTCTAAGCCTCAAATCATTCGTACAACTAGTTTTTTATGTTCTTAACATAAACAGTCGAAGATAAGTGCATACACAAGGGAACATGACACTATGAGTGACAGCCAGCAGAGAAAAGGAACATAAAAATAAACTTGTAAGCATTTCAAATATTGTAATTATCAGACACAGTCTATAATATGCTAGGTAATTTAATTGAAATAAAAGTTAAATTTGAAGGTGTACAAGGAAAAATACTGTAAAATTTGACAGATAAGAAAACAAACAGAACTCCTAGAAATGAAAAACTATAATGATCAAAATTTTAAACCAACTAGAAAATTTAATAGAAAATTAGATACAGCTAAACAAATAATTACTGAAGAGAAAGATAGACAAGGATATAATTTATCCAATATGTAGGTCATGAAGTTGATAAGATGAAAAATACAGAAGAGAATATTAGAAACAGAGGACAAAGTAAAAAAGCTTAACATATATTTAACCAGAACCCAAGGAGATAAGAGAAAAATTGTATCAGAAGCAATAGTTAAAGAAATAATAATTTGAATTCTTCAAAATTGATGAAACCATCAATAAGCAGATTTAAGAGACCTAAATAAACCTAACAGGATAAATTTTGAAAGATACTCATATCTAGAAACATTATATTGAAAGCTCAGAAAACCAAAGAAAGAGAGAAATCTTTTTTTCAAAAGCCATGGGAAGAGGACATTGAACCCTCAAACACACGACAGACTGACAGCTATGCTCCATGTTTCTCAACAGTAGCAATGGAAAATAATAGAAAGGTATCTTTAGTGTACTGAAGGAAGTTAGCAAACCTTTCTACCTAAATGATCTTTGCATGTAAGAGCCATTAAATGAGAACATGAAATCAACTTGGTATCAGTTTAATTTTAAATTATTCCAGATAAGAAAGAAGTAGTGTAAAGGCATTTCATCTCTTAAATGTGACTTCTTTTAATTTTCTTCTTTGCCCATCCCTTGCAACAATTCTGAGTCCAAGAGTTTGACCTACCTCTGTTTCTAGCCTTCTTCATCTCTAATGACTCTCACTTCTACTCTAACCTAGTCACCTATAATCATGGCCTCTCTCTGGAGATGGTAGTCTCTGAAGACTACGTCATGTCTGAAGTCACAAATTCAAATATACTTCTTTTAATCTGCAATATATTATCTTTCTTGAAGAGATTTAATCACCATTTATGCCAATAAATCCCAAATGTGACTCTATAGCCCAAATGTCTTTCTTCAACTACATTTATGTAATAGAAGCTAATTTATATAACTATCTATATGGATGCTCAAACTCAACAGTTTTAAGTTAAAATTGTTCCCTTCCTCAAAACTAAATATACCTTCTCCAGTTCCATATCTGTTCCTCTTTCTTCTGCTCTTTCTGTGTTTATTAGTTAATAGAACCAACAGTCACTCAGTTGCCTAAGCCTGAAGACAAAGTACATTTACCTTCATGCCTTTCCCTAACCCACTCCTTCTATGTTTATCACCATATACCCTATTGTTTTATCATTCTAATACAACCCCTTCACTGCATTTCTAGTTGAGGCCAATGTTTCCTCTTGCTTGTATTATTGCAACCATTTGTAATCAATCTCTCACCTTTAATCTTATTCCTCTCTAATTTATTCTCAACTCTGAAACAGGATAATGTTTTTAAAAAGTAGAAACATAATCATGTCACTTTTCTGTTTTAATTATAATCCCTTTAATAACCCTACATTTCTACTGACTTAAAGTCCAAATTCCTTGACATAGTTACAAAATATTTTCTTATCTTTCCAATTTCAACTCTTACCATTTCTCTCCTCTTGCTCTATACCTTAGCCATATTGATTTTATTTTATTTCTTCCAAATATTTCTCTTTATTTGGATTTGCACAATCTTGTTTTTAGTTTTCCTGAAAAATTTTACCCCATACCCAATTTTTGTTTAAAGTACTCCTACCAATTTTTAATGTATCACTTTAGAATATACTTTCTCCAGAAAAATTTGTCTTGTATTTCCAAATTCTGGTTAGATAACCATCATCTATGCCCTTGTAGTAGCATGAACTTTCTTTATCATGACATTCATTGTGTTCTATTTAAAATATGTGGTCATTTTTCTGTCTCCCTCTTGCGTGGCAGAAACTATGTCTGTTTACCATTCTATCCCTAACACTTATGACCATTCCTTGCACAAAGTATATTCTCAATAACTATCTGCTAAACTAATTAATTAATAGATAGATAGACATACTTAGAATTGTGCCTATGGAAAGCCTAGGTCTGCAAATGATGAAATTCAGTTTCACAACTAAACTGAGGTCTAATTTGTTCACATTTAAAAAAATGTTTAACTGGACTTGCTCTTACATTAAAAACCAGAAATGTTTTACTTTACTCACTACTTTTGAGCATTTATTTTCTACTCCTGCCAGCTAAGTCTCCTACTGAGTATCCCTAAATAAATGGTACCATTTATGCTGCTCAAAATGTCCAACCTTTCCAAAGCAACTGTTTTCGTATACCAGGTTCATTTTCAAGTAGATGATCTCATTCCTCTTTTCTGAGTAGTTGTGGAGACAGCTAAGACCTCTAATTCTCATTTCCAATTTTCCTAAAAATCTCTTGCCTACTAAGTCAATTACATGTGAGAGTATTCTTCACTATCTTTAGTTGTTTAATATATTGTCTTCACAGAGAGATCATAACTCGTTTGAGGCAGGGGCTGCATCTTAAATATGCTTCTTATATTATACCACAGCTGTAGCAGATTGTGGCTGATGATGGAAAGGTAATAGCATCACATATCACAAAAATGCAACTCGGAAAATAGGCATATAGGAGGAGAATATAATTTAAATTTATTGACAAACACTCAAGAAAAACTAATATTTTGTCTGAAACATATTGGAATTTATCTAAAACCTGAAAGTCTGCAGAGTCGCATGGTGGCGCTGCAGGATAAGATGGTGAATTTTTTGTAACAGCAGATGCTCTGGTTTCCCTTAACCATGGGAACTGAAAGCGCTGGGAAACCAGGAGAAAAGAGGCTTTCAAAAGGTAGGGCACCATCAACACCTTCGTGACAGGATTACGAGTGTCTAGATTCCCAAAGGTCCAGGATGACAGGTGAGAGGAGCAACTTTAACAGCTGCTAGAGACTGAGTTGAAACGTTTTCGCCAGAAAGACGTTTGGCTAAGAAGCCATGGAGCCGGGAAAGGGAAGAGCTCAGCGGACAAGGCAAGTGCTGCTTTTCTTTGTTTTCCTGGGAGGGTCTTTGGTGTGTTCTGAGACCTGGAGCTATTCCACAGCAGAGGAAATGGAGGTCGGCACATTTATAGCCAACGTGGTGAAAGACATGGGTTTGGATGTGGAAGACCTGGTTGCACGGGGCGCCAGAGTCATCTTTGACGACTATAAACCTTATTTGCGATTGGATCCACAAAATGGCGACTTGCTCTTAAACGAGCAGCTGGACCGGGAGGCACTTTGTGATCTCACAGAGCCTTGTATATTGCATTTCCAGGTGTTATTTGAAAATCCGTTGCAATTTTTTCGGGCTGAGCTTTTGGTCAAAGACATAAATGATCACACTCCCACGTTCCTAAATAATCATATACTTCTAAAAGTCTCCGAAGGTACTACTCTAGGAATTGTATTCCAAATAGATAGTGCTCAGGACTTGGATGTGGGAAAGAATGGTGTTCAAAACTATACAATAAGTCCCAATCCCTATTTCCACCTTAAATTACGACACAGTGATGAGGGCAGAAAATATCCAGAGTTGGTACTGGACCAATCCCTGGATCGAGAAAAGGAGTCTGAGCTTAGTTTAACGCTAACAGCCGTGGATGGCGGGTCTCCGCCCAGGTCTGGGACTACACTGATTAACGTTGTGGTCCTGGACATCAATGACAATGCCCCTGAATTTGAGAAGCCAGTCTATGAAGTTCATGTACCTGAGAGCAGCCCTCTGGACTCCTTGATCATCAAAGTGTCTGCTACAGATTTAGATGCAGGAATAAATGGAGAACTGTCTTATTCATTTTCCCATGTCTCCAGAGATGTACGGAAAACATTTGAAATCCATCCAATTTCTGGCGAAGTCTATTTAAAAGCACCTCTAGATTTCGAGATTATTCAATCTTACATCATAAACATTCAGGCCATTGACAGTGGGAGCCTTTCTGGAAAATCAAACATTTTAGTTCGGGTTGTAGATGTGAATGACAACCCGCCAGAAATAGCCATGACATCTCTTACCAGCCCCATACCGGAAAACTCTTCACCTGAGATGGTGGTCGCTGTCTTCAGCATACGAGACCAAGACTCTGGAGACAATGGGAGAATGGTTTGCTCAATTCAGGACAACCTCCCCTTTGTCTTGAAGCCTACCTTCAAGAATTTTTACTCTCTGGTAACAGAGCACCCACTGGACAGAGAGATCAGAAATGAATATAACATTACCATCACCGTGACCGACTTAGGGACACCCAGGCTGAAAACCGAGCACAACATAACCGTGCTGATCTCCGACGTCAATGACAACGCCCCCGCCTTCACCCAAACCTCCTACACTCTGTTCGTCCGCGAGAACAACAGCCCCGCCCTGCACATCGGCAGCGTCAGCGCCACAGACAGAGACTCAGGCACCAACGCCCAGGTCACCTACTCGCTGCTACCGTCCCAGGACCCTCACCTACCCCTCCCCTCCCTGGTATCCATCAACGCAGACAGTGGCCACCTGTTCGCCCTCAGGTCGCTGGACTACGAGGCCCTGCAGGAGTTCGAGTTCCGCGTGGGCGCCACAGACCGCGGCTCCCCGGCGCTGAGCAGCGAGGCGCAGGTGCGCGTGCTGGTGCTGGACGCCAACGACAACTCGCCCTTCGTGCTGTACCCGCTGCAGAACGGCTCCGCTCCCTGCACCGAGCTGGTGCCCCGGGCGGCCGAGCCGGGCTACCTGGTGACCAAGGTGGTGGCGGTGGACGGCGACTCGGGTCAGAACGCCTGGCTGTCGTACCAGCTGCTCAAGGCCACGGAGCCCGGGCTGTTCGGTGTGTGGGCGCACAATGGCGAGGTGCGCACCGCCAGGCTGCTGAGTGAGCGCGACGCGGTCAAGCACAGGCTGGTGGTGCTGGTCAAGGACAATGGCGAGCCTCTGCGCTCGGCCACCGCCACGCTGCACGTGCTCCTGGTGGACGGCTTCTCCCAGCCCTACCTGCCTCTCCCAGAGGCGGCCCCGGCCCAGGCCCAGGCCTACTCGCTCACCATCTGCCTGGTGGTGGCGTTGGCCTCGGTGTCGTCGCTGTTCCTCTTGTCGGTGCTCCTGTTCGTGGCGGTGCGGCTGTGCAGGAGGAGCAGGGCGGCCTCGGTGGGCCGCTGCTCGGTGCCCGAGGGCCCCTTTCCAGGGCATCTGGTGGACGTGAGCGGTACCGGGACCCTATCCCAGAGCTACCAGTACGAGGTGTGTCTGACAGGAGGCTCCGGGACAAATGAGTTCAAATTCCTGAAGCCGATAATTCCCAATCTGCTGCCCCGGGACAGCGAAATGGAGAAAGCCCCACCTTTCTGAATGGCATGGAATTCAATTAGGGATCTGATTATGATGCAGAACTTTTAGAATGAGTCTATTTCTTTGAAATCTTTTTGTTATTTAGAGTTTTTCATTTTGGGTAACTGCATTTTATTCAAGAGTTTTCAGAAGTTACAAGAATTTAAGACTATTTTTTGTTGTTTTAATCGTGAAAAAATTGAAAGCTGGAATTTACTTAGTCATTGTTTTGAAATACAACCTCAAATAATATGTTCACATACACATTATTTTCCCTTCAAGTTTAATTGCACACTGGGTTCATTCCTATTTTCTGAGTGTTCTGACTGTGGATCCTCTAACCAAAGCAGTTTTTATATGATTGAGAATATTATTATAGAGGTAAATGCATGATATCAACAAAAACATAATTGCTTGTTATCTGGTTAGGTTGGTTTCTAAGATGTTATCTAATTTAGGTTTCTTTTTTTAAAACCTATAATCTTTTCATTCTACTTTTCTGGCAAACATTGCAGAGAATTTTTCCTGTACTGAGGGTTTTTTTTTTTTTTTTCATAATTATGTGTGAACCATATATATGCTAGTAGATGTTGTTTTATTTAAATATATTCAAAACCTTGTTTGGATTAAGATGTATATATCCAGCTCATGCTCCTTTCTTGTCTGAGAACTTCTCTATACTACCCAAGAGAGGCGATCACTAGTGTGATGCTTATTCCATTGCAGGCCTTCTTTTCTTACACCTCCCCCCGCCATATATTTTTTTAAGGAGTGGAGTCTTGCCATGTCACATGGGCTAGTCTTGAACTCCTGGGCTCTAGTAATCCTACCACATCAGCTTCCCAAAGTGTTGGGATTATAGGCAAGAGCCCTGATCACTTTTTATTGGTCCTGTGATAGATTCCTAATTTAAGCTGGAATAGCAGCTACATTCTCCAAACCCCTAAATTTGTGATTGAGATATAGTTCATCTACTTTTTCCTCTTGAATAAATGTTGAACGTGTGCTGAGGTAGCCATGTTTATAAGTTTCTAGATAGAGAGAAAAAGAGGGAGAGAAAATGGAAGGAAAGTAAAAGTGAAAAGGAATAAGAGTGGAGAAGGCAGAAGCCTAGAAAACAGTAGAGACTAAAATAGCTACTTAGTTCTAGACCTATCCACCTAAGTTCAGTTCCTCCTAAGTCCCCAATGTCTAATTGCCCTTGGGTTCTACAGTAAGACTCCATTGCTAATAGTAAAATTCCTTTGTTTAACCTATCTTGAAGTGGGATTTCTTGAAATCAGAAGAGACTTGAAAGGTTTGTACAACCTTGAGTACTCAATTAGACTATCTACCTTGAAACCCTGGTCTTTTATTGCATGCTTCTCATGTTAACTTAATGAATGAAATACAGGATGTACAAGCCTAGAGATAACAAATATATACTAGAGGCTTATGTAATAAAATTTAAATTTGTAAATAATTTATGAGGTCTTTCAACAGAAAAATGCTACAAAGGGCTTTATGAAATGTCTCATTAACTTAACTTTCCCTCCATTATTTTATATGTCCCAAGATTACTTTTAAATAATACTTTTAAATAATACTTTTAGTTTAAATAATAATAATAACACTAAAATTGTTAAGTTTTAGGTTTCTGTACCTTTTCTCAGGATCATCATACCTTCCTTAGCAGACTCTTTCTTTTAAAAATTGCTTGTTAAGCTCAATGTGAACAAAATTATTTTTGTCATGTAATGTAAAATCTTCTTGCTCCATAAATAATCCCAATTTATAGATAATATGGATTGACTCATGATTTCAGTTATAGTAATAAACATTTAATTAATATACCCTATTGCTAGAAAACCTCATGAAAAAATTTAAGTTTCTGCCAAGCCTAGGAGCTAAGATCTTAGAAAGGAGAAACTTTAACCAAGAGAAGAAAGATGGGAATGAAAAACTAACTTTGATCCATTAGGTTACTGACATAGGTACAAGCTTCTATCCCATTAATATTAAAAAATGCATAGACATTCAGGACGCATTTTCTTGGACACATAATAGTGAATTTGGATCCATGACCAATATATTTCTATAAGGAAAATTGTCCATCAGATTTTGACTGTGACTGGCATGTTCTCATATTTTGAAAGTTTAATCAAATTTGTTTGTATAGAAGAAAACATTCTAAAGTAGAATGTTGATTTGAGCTATTTATACCTTAAGAGAAACCAATATAAACCACAATTCTTACACTTGGCTCATCCTTAGTTTTCTCAGTTAGCTAGGTAATTAGAATACCAGAACACATAATAGTGTATATTGTTTAAACATTGTGAGTAGAACATTGGTTAAAGTTGGCAGAGTTGGGAAGACCCCCAAGTCTCCTCCCCGAAAATGTTTTCTCTTTCCTTAGAAGTAAGAATTTCAGTTCCATGCTAGGGTTTCAGGATTCCAATGAATCCACAAGAGATATATGATTGCTTACTAAAAATGAGTTGAGATCTTCTCCAGTTGGGAATATGCTTAACCTGCTATTTCAGGTGAACTTAACATATTTTCTTCTGCATTTTACTTTTTACTTTAACTTCAGCCTTTATATCCATGATCTTAGCTGTCTCCCTCTTAAAGGTTTCAGTGACTCTCAGCTTCAACATGTGTGTATCTCATTATTAACAATAGATGGTGATGCTCTTTACAAATTATTTTAGATACTGTGACAATTCAACATAGCAAGCTCACAGTCCTTAGACAATATTCACAAATAAGTTATCCACAACTCCTTAAGCTACCTATTGAGTTTGCATAATAAATCAGCTTTAGCTAGTATATCACTTAAGTTCATACCCCTGAAGTGTTAGAATGAATCTCTTCATCTACTGTGCTAGCAGTCATTAGACCCATCAAAGAGAAGAGGCTTTCTTAACAGAAAATTGCGTTGTGGCAAGGATTGATTCCCAGAGCAGACTGCCTACTGACCCAACATAGGCATCCAGACCCTGAATGCTGTTGGTGTTGGAGAAATGGAGGCTGAAAAGGAGCATTTTCCTAGAATAAGGTAAGTGCTGCTTCTCTTTGTTATGCTGTCTCAGACTTGCGCGCAGCGGAATGTTTATACTGTAGCAAAAGAAACAGAAAGCGGTTCTTTTGTGGCCAATGTAGCAAAGGACCTAGGGCTAGAAGTAAGAGAAATATGCCGGCGGAGGGCTCGGGTTATTTTTAACAGTAACAAAAAAATATTTTCAGCTGAACCTTCAGACTGGAGACCTGCAAGTAAATGAGAAACTGAATGAGGAAGAATTGTGTGACCTCACTGAGCCTTGTGTGCTGCAGTTCCAAGTGTTACTGGAAGAACCTTTGGAGGTATATAGGTTTAAACTTTTGGTCAGTGACATAAATGACAATTCCCCTGTATTCCCAGAAGTAGAAATTATTTTGAAAATCATGGAAAATACTCCTCCAGGAACTGTGTTTCCTCTGAAAAACACACAGGATTTGGATGTGGGCATCAATAACACTCAAAACTACACCATCAACCCCAACTCCCATGTCCACGTTCTCACCCAAAATGGCAGTGAAGGCAGAAAATACCCAGAGCTGGTTCTAGACAAAGCCCTGGATCCAGAGGAGCAGGCTGAGTTCGGGTTAACTCTCATGGCAGTAAATGGCGAGGCTTCTCCCAGAACTGGAACTGCTCTGGTCCTCGTTGAAACCTTGGACATCAATGGCAATGCGCTTGAGTGTGTGCTGTCACTCTATCAGGTGCAGATATCAGAAAACAGCCCCCTGGAATCCCTTGTTGCCACTGTTTCCGCTAGAGATTTAGACATGGGAATTAATGGTGAAATATTCTACTCACTTTTTATGGTGATGAAGAGATTTCTAAGACATTTGCACTTAATGAACGAACGGGAGAAATTAAAATGATCAGAAAATTAGATTTTGAAAAAATTGTGTCATATGAGGTGGATATTAAAGCCTGTGATGGGGCAGGTCTTTATGGAAAATGCGCCATCATAATACAGGTGGTAGATATCAACGATAACGCTCCAGAACTGACCATGGCTTCATTTACAAGCCCCATCCGCGAAAATTCTCCCAAGATGTGGTAGCTCTTTTCAGCATTCCAGACCGAGATTCTGGGGAAAATGGAAGAATAGTTTGCGCAATTCAAAATGATGTTCCGTTCATGCTGAAACCTTCCTTTGAGAATTTCTACTGGCTGTTAACAGAAGGACTACTGGACAGAGAGTTTAGAGCCGAGTACAATTCACCATCACAGCCTTGGACTAGGGAACGCCTAGGCTGAAAACCGAGTACAACATAACTGTGCTGGTCTCCTAAGTCAATGACAACGCTCCCGCCTTCACCCAAACCTCCTACATCCTGTTCGTCAGCGAGAACAACAGCCCCGCCCTGCACATTGGCAGCGTCACCGCCACAGGCACCAACACCCAGGTCACACACTCGCTGCTGCCGCCACCGAACCCGCACCTGCCCCTCGCCTCCCTAGTCTCCATCAACACAGAAAACGGCCACCTGTTTGCCCTCCGGTCGCTGGACTACGAGTCTCTGCAGGGGTTCGAGTTCCGCGTGGGTGCCACAGACCGCGGCTTCCTGGCGCTGAGCAGCGAGGCGCTGGTGCAGGTGCTGGTGCTGGACGCCAACGACAACTTGCCCTTCGTGCTGTACCCTTCGTGCTGGTGCCCCGGGCGGCCGAGCCGGGCTACCTGGTGACCCAGGTGGTGGCGGTGGACGGCGACTCGGGCCAGAACGCCTGGCTATCGTACCAGCTACTCAAGGCCACGGAGCCCGGGCTGTTCGATGTGTGGGCGCACAATGGCAAGGTGCACACCGCCAGGCTGCTGAGCGAGAGCGACGTGGCCAAGCACAGGCTGGTGGTCCTGGTCAAGGACAACGGCGAGCCTCCGTGCTCGGCCACCGCCATGCTGCACGTGCTCCTGGTGGATGACTTCTCCCAGTCCTACCTGGCGCTCCCAGAGGCGGCCCCAGCCCAGGCCCAGGGCGACTTGCTCACCGTCCAGCTGGTGATGGCGTTGGCCTTGGTGTGGTCGCTCTTCCTCTCTCAGTGCTCCTGTTCGTGGCGGTGCGGCAGTGTAGGAGGAGCAGGGTGGCCTCGGTGGGTCGCTGCTCGGTGCCCGAGGGCCCCTTTCCAGGCATCTGGTGGACATGAGCCGCACCAGGACCCTATCCCAGAGGTACCAGTATGAAGTGTGTCTGACTGGAAGCTCCCCGACAAATGAGTTCAAATTCCTGAAGTCTGTTATCCCTAAGCATCCGGGCGCTCTGAATGACGGTAGGATAAGTCCAACTTTGTAAATGGTTTTGGATTCAATTAAGAATCTGTATATTTTTCAGAGCATTAAGGATAAAGGTTAGTTCTTTATCAATATATTAAGTCTCTGTTATGTTTTTTGTTCTATATAGATTTTCTAAGATTTTGCTGCTTTCATTTTCCTAATTAAGATTAGACATTTTCTTTGATTATTTGTTCATACTTAGTCTCCTTTTATCATGTCCATTTTGATGAATACAACTTTCAAGTTTACTCACTAATGAAAAGTCATATTTGTTCAATTTATCAACTTTTCAAAATCACAGGCTGTTGATTTGAAGATTCCAGCCCCATTCTGTTTCATTAAAGAGAGCTTTTCCGAGATCAGGAGATTGAGACCATCCTGGCTAACATGGTGAAACCCCGTCTCTACTAAAAAATACAAAAAAAAAACTAGCCGGGCGTGGTGGCAGGCGCCTGTAGTCCCAGCTACTCGGAGGCTGAGGCGGGAGAATGGCGTGAACCCGGGAGGTGGAGCTTGCAGTGAGCCGAGATCGCGCCACTGCACTCCAGCCTGGGCGACAGAGCGAGACTCCGTCTCAAAAAAAAAAAAAAAAAAAAAAAAAAAAAAAAAGAAAGCTTTTCTAAACTTTTGATGCTTAGAAGACAAGAACGATGATATAGTGATTATTAGTACATACTCTGTTTAATCTGTCTTATGCTTACCTGTCTTGAATTTTTAAATGGAGAAGTGTCTGCAAAAATTGGTTTTATTTCACAATAGCATGATGTGGGAAAGACTACATTTTTTCCCAAACTTAAAGACTTTTCTGCTCTTTTAATAACCTTTATTATATAACATATATAAGCATTAGTATTATTATTATTGAGACAGAGTTTCACTCTTGTCACCCAGGCTGGAGTGCAATGGCGCAATCTCGCTCACTGCAACCTCGCTTCCCCGGTTCAAGTGATTCTCCTGCCTCAGCCTCCCAAGTAGCTGGGATTACAAGCCCCTTGTTTTAGTAGAGATGGGGTTTCACCATGTTGGCCAAACTCAAAGTGGCTCCTGGAGTTTGGCTGGTCTCAAACTCCTGACCTCAAGTTATACACTCGTCTCTGCCTCCCAAAGTGTGGGATTACAGGCATGAGCCACCTCGCCCCGCCATATGAGCATTATTTAATGATTATTAGATTATCTCAAGATTTAAAAAATCATAGCTCCCTTTTGTAATGTCTATCTAGCCCACCTGATCTTTTTCTGGAAACTTCTCCCTGTCTTTAGCAGAAGTGTAATGTTGCAGCCACATTTATTTTATATGACCCAACTCCCTCTGTGATTTCAAACACAAAAATAAGATGATCTTAGCTGGCCTAATCTGATTCTCTCTATTTTAAAAAAAAATGGCTTTAGAAACCAGATACAATATAGTCTCTTTGTTAGGAACATAACCAGAAAGTGGTGTCATATCTGGCTAAACACCTGAAAAGAAATACAGGACATCAATCTACTGAGAGACAAGAAAAAAGAAGATATCAAAAGAATGACCTTGTTGTAGATTTTCCTGTTTTAGATTTTCCAGTCCCTCCCAAGTCTGCTTTTCCCTTGGGTTTTTGGAGACAAATATGTGCTCTTTAATAAATTTCCTCTAATTAAGAGACCTAAGTGAGGTTTTTGTTGTCAAAAGCATATTAGATATTCTTGCATTGTTGGTAAGTCAGACCTTTCTTACTATTGAGTTTTCATTGTGGCTTTTCATATTAATATGACAACATTTGGGATCAAGGAGGTTGTAAAATATTAGTAGTCCGTAAGGGGCATGCACTAGGTTTTCTAGAATATATAATTTTGAAAAAAACTGAAGGATCTTTCCAATGGTACAGTCTTTGAAATGTTTAATAGAAAGTCTTAGAAAATTTTATTATATGAGTGTTTTGAATATCATAAGTATCATAATAACATTACTGTAAAAAAACCTTGACAATGAAAAATGTGTGTCTAAAAGAGACATAATCATTATATTTAGGGTCATGATAATCTTGTTATGGTGTTTCTTTCTATTATATAATATATCCCTTGCTTATGGGTAGCTAGGTTATTTTGCCACTTAATGAAATGACATTTTAGGCCATTCTGAGTTACTTCTCATTACTATTTAAAGGGCATAGGAAATACCTACCTTATGAACATGCTGTCTTTGTTTATCCATCTTATATAATGGACTTGAATCCCAGCAGAAGAGGGGACTTCTACAGTAGGAGGAGAACCTATCTGTCAGCATTTTTTAATTAATTGTGATTCATTGATGTATCTATTTAACAAATATTTATTGAGCACCTATCATGTGCCGGGGATTATTTTAGATATTGGCGATGCAGCAGTGAACAAAATGAAGTTCTAACACATGAGATTGAAACAGAAAGGAAACAATGAAATGAGTACATCTATACTACGTCTGATGATAATAAATCTGAGAGAGACAAGGCAGGGCCAGGTACAGCAACTTGTGCCTATAACCTCAGCACTTTGGGAGGCTGTGGCGGGAGGATTTCTTGAGCTCAGAAATTTGAGACCAGCCTGGGCAACATAGCAAGACCTCATCTTCACAAATAATTAAAACATTAGCCAGGCGTGGTGATGTGCAACTGTGGTCCCAGCTACAGTTGCTGAGGTGGGAGGATCGCTTGAGCCTGGGCAGCTGAGGCTGCAACGAGCAGTGATTGTGCCACTGCATTCACTACTGGGCAATAGAGCAAGACCCCATCTCAAAAAGGAAAAGAAAAAGGAAAAGAAAAAAAAAAAGAAAAAGCAAAGTAAGAGATATAGGAAGTGCCTTCATATGTTTTTTTCCACAGTTTAAAATTTTCATAAAATCGTAACTCTCTGACTTTATGTAGAAAGGCTATCACCCTGGAATGAACATGTAGCTTTTTCTTGATGTAATTCAACCAATGGGAGCACAATTCTGGTACACAGGCTGTCTAGAACTTGAAATAAATCAAAGAATTCATTTTGTTTTGATGAGAAAATGTCAAGAAATCACGTGGCTATGGGTTATTATTATTATAAGATGACTGATCCCTATTATGTCTTCTTTCACTTCTCAATTTCCCTCAGAGCACCCCACCCAGACTACAGGCTCTGGACGGTGGGGACCATGTCTGGGTTGTTTACTGATGCGTATCATAATTTGGCACATAGAGACGAAAAATACCCCTTTGAATGAAGAAATTAATAATTATAATTGCGTGATATTGTGATTACATCATTTTCTCCCATTTTCCAAACTCCTAATAGAATGGAGAATAGATCAATTGTAGCAATTCGTTTCGAAGTAAAGACAACGCATGGTGGCGCTGCAGGCTAAGGCTTCAAAAAAAGGAAACGAAGCCCATGAAATGCTACGAGCTACTTCAGACCTCTTTCAGCCTAAGGGTGAAGTCCGTTAGCAGAGCACCGACCAGTGTCTCCGGAGAATGCTATTCTCCTACATTTCCGGACAGGTTATCAACGGGCAGATCGATCACTGCCTCTGTCCCATCGCTCCCTGAAGTAGCACTGACTCCGATTCCTTGAAAGGGGGGTGTGCAGAAGTAAAGATGGAGCCTACAGGGGAGCGCTTTCCTGAACAAAGGCAAGTCCTGATTCTTCTTCTTTTACTAGAAGTGGCTCTGGCAGGCTGGGAACCCCGTCGCTATTCTGTGATGGAGGAAACAGAGAGAGGTTCTTTTGTGGCTAACCTGGCCAATGACCTAGGGCTGGGAGTTGGGGAGCTAGCCGAGCGGGGAGCCCGGGTAGTTTCTGAGGATAACGAACAAGGCTTGCAGCTTGATCTGCAGACCGGGCAGTTGATATTAAATGAGAAGCTGGACCGGGAGAAGCTGTGTGGCCCCACCGAGCCCTGTGTAATGCATTTCCAAGTGTTACTGAAAAAACCTTTGGAAATATTTCGAGCTGAACTACTAGTGAGAGACATAAATGATCATTCTCCTGAGTTTCCTGAAAGAGAAATGACCCTGAAAATCCCAGAAACTAGCTCCCTTGGGACTGTGTTTCCTCTGAAAAAAGCTCGGGACTTGGACGTGGGCAGCAACAACGTTCAAAACTACAATATTTCTCCCAATTCTCATTTCCATGTTTCCACTCGCACCCAAGGGGATGGCAGGAAATACCCAGAGCTGGTGCTGGACACAGAACTGGATCGCGAGGAGCAGGCCGAGCTCAGATTAACCTTGACAGCGGTGGACGGTGGCTCTCCACCCCGATCTGGCACTGTCCAGATCCTCATCTTGGTCTTGGACGTCAATGACAATGCCCCGGAGTTTGCACAGGCGCTTTACGAGGTGCAGGTCTCAGAGAACAGCCCAATAGGCTCCCTAGTTGTCAAGGTCTCTGCTAGGGATTTAGACACTGGGCCGAATGGAGAGATATCATACTCCA